TCACCATACCCAGCCATGAAGACTAGTTCTTAGCTATCACCCTTGTAAAATTTGACTACAAATTCTTGAGAATTGGTTACCTTTCCTTAATTTTGTATGCATTTCGTATGTTTAAAATTTTTCCCCCTGTGGTACTGGGGAATGTTCTCATAAATTTTGTTTTGTAGATTATGCATTCCGTTATAATCCTACAGGAAATGGTAATTTATTTTTTATGTTTTAAGGAGGCTGTCAGCCCTTTTAGGTTTAGAGTTCCTATTTCTCTGCTTTGAGGTTGAGGGGCAGGGGTTATATAATCTATTATTTATTGTTAAAAGTTTTGTTACATTGCCTTGCGTCTGTTATGCATAACTTGGGACTTAGGTGCTTTCTTTATAAGCACCTGTCTTCACAGGCATGTACACAAAGAGGTAGGTTGAAACACTATTATCCATAGTTGGCTGTGCTGTGTTAGCACAAGTGTCTGATACATGTGAATTTCAGTTGTACTGTGTGTGACAGACACAGTAGGTGGATTTAGCACTAACTGGACTATGCATTCGCCTATACAGTGTTCCCATTTCTTTCTTTCTTTCTTTCTTTCTTTTTTTTTTTTTTTGTCTTTTTCTGTCTTTTTCGTTTTTATTGATACCAGGGATCGAACTCACGACCGCACATTTGCAAGGCAGGCGCTTATGCCGCTGAGCTAAATCCCCAACCCCAATGTTCCCATTTCTTATGCCATCTGCACTTGAGGCCCTGTGCAATTGAGTCTGGAGAAGTATCACTTAAAGATCACATAATAATAATGTTAACTTTATGTTGTTGTCTAGGTCCGCAGGTGGCTCTCATGCTGTGGTTTGGACAAGTCTGGTCTAGAGTTTTTAGTTGTAATTAGTGAGAGAGATTGGCTATACAAGGTTGTTTTGTATTGGCTTAGTGGGATGTCTTCTTAAGGCTGTTTCCCTTTTTGGTGTTTGTTCCTTTCTTCAGGCAGCTTACCAAATGAAAGTAGCAGCACTCTTTAGTTTCATTCTAAGCCTGAGATTTTAATTGTGATCTTAATTGGGTTTCGTTGTAATGTTTCTTACAATCTTAAGCTTATTCCATTTCTTCACTTATAATTTAGGACTTCATTATAGGTTTTTATTTTCTTTCTTTCTTTCTTTCTTTTTTTTTTTTTTTTTTTGTCTTTTTCATTTTTTATCGGTACCAGGGATTGAACTCATGACTGCACACTTGTAAGGAAGGCGCTTATGCCGCTGAGCTAAATCCTCAGCCCCATAGGTTTTTATTTTATAAAGTGTAACTTCAGATGGCTACTCTTTCACTTCAAGTGTAATAAAAAACAAAACAGTTATAGGCTGAAGTTCTGGAGGTATACACTGTTGTAGCTCTCTTTGTGTATATACTTATTTGCTTTCAACAAGGTGTGAATGATATACCTTTTAGATCAGTATAATCAACCAATATAGGTGAAATTTGCAGCTGTGTGACTGGAAAGACTATTGAGAAACTTAGAGGAAAAAATTTAGTGCAAGATTTCCAAATGAGATGGATTAGAATCATTGTCGTAAGTTAAACAGGGACAAATGTAAAGGCTATTTATATTCACACGATTGATTACTTATATATGGAATGAATAAGATAATTTCATAGTAATTATGCCTGAAAGAAAGCCAACATGAGTTAACAAGCTGAGTTTTGAAGTAAAGAAAGCATATACAATTTAAGGTTGCACTGATAATAGTAGCTAGATATATGAATCGTCATTCAATTGTCCAAACAATATCTGCACAAATCTTTCTCTTCAGTAAACTCAGAGAAATCAGTAGTATAACCATCTTAATTATCTTTTTAACATACACATATGTTGTTTCATTCAGCTTCTCACACTAGTGACTTTGACTTATTTTAGAATGAACTAATAACTTATTTCATCTTTAGATAGGTGCACACATTTTAACCAGGTTATAGCATTTTTTTTTTTTTTTTGGTTTTTTTCCTTTTTATCGGTACCAGGGATCGAACTCACAACTGCCTGCTTGCAAGGCAGGCGCTTATGCCGCTGAGCTAAATCTGTAGGCCCGGTTATAGCAGTTTTCTTATCATGCTTTGAAGCATTGTGTCCTCATTGAAGTACAGGAAGATCGTACTTCATGGAGCATGGGTAGACCTGGTCTAGAATCTTAAGCTTTGTGATCTTGGATGAGTTCCTTCATCTTGCAAAATCTCAGTTTTCAGAACATACTAAATACTAAGTGGCGTGGTGTAGATGGGTGGTTGGGCTAGGCTTTTCACTAGGCTTGACATTCAGATCTTTTGATTTCTATTTTCATGTTTTTAACAGAGCAGTGTTTTTGTTTTAAAAGTTATATTTTGTACTTTAGTATAACTAAAGTTATAAAGTATAACTAAATACTAAAGGTATTTTAAGACATAGTTAAAGTACCACTTCACAATATTGTTATTAGTTTATAGGGTACAAAATAAATAAAATCAAAATTCTTGTAGAGTAATTCTTTGACTCATTTTTATGGCTAAGGTGGCAGAATGTTTGTTGCTATACTTTTGGCCAAATATAGGATCATCTTCCTTAGAAATTCTTGTAGTAGTGGTAATGTTGTTGGCTAGTAAAGTAACTGGTAGAAAGCAGTAGTCCTGACTTTCCCTGTGTAAGGCTAAATGGAGTGGCCCCCGTTATTTGGCATAGTATTGATAATTTGCTTGAGAACTTACTCTCTCATAAGAGCTAGTCCAAGCAATAGCAGTTGGCACTGCAGAGGGAAGAGTGGCCTCATTTTCTACCAGTCACTTGATCCCACTGCAGAACTTCAGTGCATAGTTCTAGTTCAGATCAGGGGCTGGCTCTCATTCTGAAAGGACTGCCTAGCTAATATTAAGGATGTTTGTTCTGAAACTGTGTGTGTGTGTGTGTGTGTGTGTGTGTGTGTGTGTGTGTGTAATTTGAAACAGTACCTTTAATAAAACTTAATTTTAAAGGGCCAGGGATTTAGCCCAGCGGTATGTATCTGCCTTGTAAGCGCAGGGTTGTGGGTTCACTTCCCACTACCAAAAAAAATTTAGTTTCAGTACATCTCCTTGCAGCATTTTACGTTAGTTCTCTGTATGTAGAGGATGGTGGTGATGGATTTAATCGTGTCTGAGGTGCTAATGTAAGCAGCTATCTAGAGTCCAATACAGAATCTTTACTTCTGATGACTGGGGAGTAAGACTTCTGGTTTTGTATTCCCTCTTTTACCTCAGTAAGCTGGCTACTTGGATATATAGAGAATTTTACTTATGATTCTTTAAGATTTTGGCAACGCATGACCTTTCTTTTAAAAAAAAAAAAAAAAGCACTGTTTACAGCTCTTAGTTTCCCCAACCTTTCTTGCCTTGGAAAGGAATGTGATGGTGGAATGTGTTAAGTATTTGTTAAGCTGAAGGAAAGATGCCTGACATTTAGCCCCCCTTCCCCTCCCTTTGGTGGTTCTGAGAATTGACCCTCACACTGAAAGTCCCAGGTCTGTCTCTCCCACCAGTTTTAATATTTGAGGCAGATTCTAAGTTGTCTGGCATGTGCTGAAACTTGTAATCCTGCTGCTTCTGTCTTCCAGGGTGCTGGGATTGTGATGTGTGCTATCACACCATAATTTTTTTAATGATGGAAACAACATTTATAATTAATCTAGTTGGGTTTAGTTTAGATGTCAACTAAAGTTTAGTTGTCAACACCATTCAATTCATAGTAATTCTTTAAAAACCATTTAAGTCATACAAATCACATTTATTGTAAAAGAAGTGTATACTGTATTTAGATAATCCTATCATCCAGATGTAGTTGCTGTTATCTTTTAGTTGCCCCTCACTCTCTTTTGGTAGTAGTGGCCCTTGAACTCAAGTCTTGGTTTTTTTTTTTTTTTTTTTTGTCTTTTTGTCTTTTTCTTTTTTATTGGTACCAGGGATCAAACTCAGGACCACACACTTGCAAGGCAGGCGCTTATTCAGCTGAGCTAAATTCCCAGCCCCTGAACTCAAGTCTTAATGCCTGCTGAGTAAGTGCTGTGTTACTGAACCACACAGCCTCAGCTCTGGTTGAGAGTCTTCAAGAGGGCTTAAGTACGCAGATGTTTTCTGTTTAAAAAATATTACTGTATCAAATGGAAAAGTTTGATTTTTTAAAAAATTTTTTATTTTTTTTTACTGGGGATCAAACTTAAGACCTTGCACTTGCCAGTCAGGCGCTTATGCTGCTGAGCTAAATCCTCAGCAGGTTTGATTTTTTAATTTGTGAAGTTTAGTGATAGCCTTTTAGCTGTTGATATGCTGGAATATTTTAAAGTAATAGTACTATAGAGCCTGTGTTTTAAAATGGGAAGCTGTTGGTTTGATGGGTAAGGTGGAAAGTAGCTGAAATCAAAGAAAACAACAAAAAGCCAAATTAAATAATAAGGAAACAGTTGTTTGTTATTCCTGTGTACCCTAGTTTTTTTTTTGGTCTTTTTCCTTTTTATCGGTACCAGGGATTGAACTCACAACTGCCTGCTTGCAAGGCAGGCGCTTACGCCGCTGAGCTAAATCCCCAGGCCCTCCTGTGTACCCTAGTTACAGAACAGAGTGGGCCTTTGTCAGGAGTTCACACTTGATGAGTCTTCCTGAATATTGTGGTGTTATATACTTCTTTAATGCCTTTTGTATAGAAAGTAAAGTTGGTAAATTTTCATCATGGGCTTAAAGTTTGAAAACTTGTATAATTATATTTGTTTGGAATTGACATGCAATATTTATCATGAGAACCACTTAGGAGATACTCGGTTAAATCACATAAGGAAATTTGAAGTACTTCATTTTCCAGTTTCTATGGAAGAATAAGTCCATAACTCCAATTGGAGTTACAATTAGCTTAGGTAATTGGGTACAGAATCTTGGATGTTTGTCAGAATTTTGTGGTGGTAACTTTTTCTTATTACTAAAGCAGTCCATTTTTGAATTATTTTATCCTTAACTTGATCTTCTAGAATTCCTAGAGGACCTGTGCAGCAGCCTCTTGAGGATCGCATCTTCACTCCCACGGTCTCAGCAGTCTATAGTACGGTGAGTCTTAAGGCTGCATGTGTATCTGCTTTTTTGCTTGAGCTCTTGACATTAAGGGGCACTGTTTTCATGATCAAAATAGGTTTTTGTCGAAAAGTTCAATAAAATTAGGGGAATATAATGTAATAAGGCAAATAGATCCTTTATTATTATCTTAATCTAGGTAAATATGAAACATTATGCTAAGCTAGACTAGCTCATATACCTGTTACCTTTTTTCTTCCCATAAATACTGAATTTTGACCTTGTATTTTGATTGAGACACTGATGTTTTATATAACTTTGAATATATTTTCTTAAAATTTTTAGTTACTATTTTTCTCCTCTGATTATATGTAACATGTGGAAAGAGTGGAAAAGTGAACACTAGAGGAAATTTAAGGAAATTTAAAAGTTAGAGGTTGAAACACTCCCTGCCCCCACCAAGAAAAGTTAGATAGGGCCAGAGATTTCGCTCAGTGGTCAAGTGCCTACCTGACAAGTGTGAGGTCATGAATTTGATCCCCAGTAAGTTAAAGGTTGAAGGCAATAAGATTAGAAGCATATTTTAGGTGTCTTGCAGGAAACCTAGGTAATTTGGGGTATTTGGGGGAGTATAAAATACATCTTTTAAAAGATTTCAGTTCTACATACCATTTATTTCTGCATTGTAAAGAAATAGTTTAGTAAGTACGGTGAGTCAATCAAGTGACCTGATGATGCATTTTTCTTTTGTTTTTATTTTTGGTACTTGGAATTGAACCCCCAGGGCCTTTGCACTGAGCTATATTCCTGGCCTCTTTATTTTGTTCTGTATTTTGAGACAGGGTCTCACCAAGTTGCCTGTTGGTTTGTAACTTGCAGTCTTCTTGCCTCATTCTCCCACAGTGCTGTAATTTCAGGCATGCACCACTGTCCCTGGCTGGAACAAGAAGATTTCTAGAGATCCATTACTGTAGAAGGAACAGCAGTGTACAAGTGCAAAGAAGGCTGTGAGCTTCATGTAGTCTTAGCGAAATGTCAGGATGCTGATGTGGCCAGAGTGAAGGAAGGTTGGGTTAGGGACATCACTTTGTGGGGTGTTACAGAGCATGGTAGGGTTTTGGGTTTAGGTCCAGATACGAAGGAAAGCACTGCAGGACTCAGAGCAGTAGATCTGAGCTATGGGTTTTTTTGGGGGGGGTATCGGGACTTGTGCTCGCCAGGCAGACACTTGTGCCGCTGAGCTAGCTATATCCTTAGCCCTGAACTGTGTTTTAAAAGGTTCCTGTAGCTATGGCATGGAGAGAGCAGACTGTGACAAGGGTGGGTAACGGTGGCAAAGAGATGAGTTCAGAGGTTCCTGGAGTTTACAGGTGAAAGATGATTGTGGTTTGCTCTAAGTGGTAGTGGTAAAAGTATATAGCTTATATTTTGAAAATAAAGTTTGTAGGTTATGATGATGTCTTGGATAGGTGCAGTAAGAGAGAAAGGGGTGTCAGGGATGATATCTTGTTTGCTTGAACTGACAGAATATGATTTATTAATGGAAGTGATCAATGTTCACTATGTGAGGTGCAGTTTTTGTTGAGAAAATCAACTTAATATGTAAACATTATTTTGGTAGGGATTAAAATATTGTTTATGCATTCATATGAAATGTTAAAATCTTGCGTTTTTGGATTTATGTTTCAAATTACATCAAATTTGACTTTCATGGTTTAAAGTTACTGCATATATATATATATCTATATATCTATATATACGCATATGCATGCTTGTGTTACCTACTATCTATTGTACCTATTATAGAACAACAAGGGATTTAGGCAGCAGACATTACCTCAAAACTTAATTTTCTCCACTTTTAAAAATTACTTGGAATTTTTTGGAATCTTGCTATGTTGCCCAGCCTGTTTGTTCTAAAATTCCTGTGCTGAAGTGATCTTTACACCCTCAGTGTCCCAAGTAGATGGAATGTGCCTTTTAATAACTAACCAACTTACTTACTTTCATGCTTAGTAATTTAAGTCTTTTTTTTTTTTTTTTTTTTTTTTTTTCATTTTAAATCTTTGTGCACATTAGTACTACTGAATGGCTACTAGGAACATGTGTGACCTGGTGCTTTGATGTCCCTAGGACCCCTTGTCTCAGCCCCAGGGTTATGTGTTGGTCATTATGTCACTGCTGTCTAGGTTTATTAGCAACATTTTTGTGTTGTAAAATAAAGGCTAACCTGCAGTTCACCTCCTACTGCCTTGGCATATGGTGCCCACATGGTACTTTTACAGAGTTGGTTAAATTCTTTGAAAGACAGCAACACTGTTAGCCAGTCTTTCAAATTTAAAGTCTTGCTTTTGAAAAATTTCTGTTACTCTGATATACAAGCTTTAATCTGTCATGTTAGATAGATTCTCTACTGATAAAGAAATTCAGAACTTGGATTCAGTTTTTAGAATATCTCATATTACATGTTTGAGCCCGTATTTCAACTTGGTTTATTCATTTTTCCTTAAAATATTTCTTGGGGGTGAAATGGGAGATGTCATTATATTTGAGAGATTGATCATATGTGTACAAAGAAGAATCAAGTAAAATTAATTTTTAAATTCTAGTAAGATCAGCATTTATCATGATAGAGAAGTGGCAATACTGGAGAGATAAGAGCTAATTTTAAATATATTGTTAACTTTCTCATTGACATGCTTCAGTAGTGTAAGCTATATAATTGTACCTTACTATATAATTTTGTCATGTTTTATTTGGAGAAATTCAGGATTTCTATTAATGACTGTTAAGCTAGTATTTTTAATTACAGAGATAAACTTAATAGAGTAATGATATAAGAATTCCAGTTTACATTCTAGAAGATTGGAAGTATTCTCTTAATAACTGCTTATGAAAAACTTTTGTAAATAAATTATTTCATTCCTCATTAGTAGTTCTTTAATGCCATAAAGCGTCATGAATTGTCTAGCCAATTTATTCCTCCTATATAAAGTCTTGGTTCCATGATTTTGTAGCTGTGTTAAGTATTGTGTAGGCTCATATGTCAGTGGAATCCCTCTACAGATGACATTTAGCCTGGGTCAAATCAGTACTCCCTAGGCAATAGTGTCCAGATAGATGTCAGTCTACTTTATTATCCTGTTATCCAGCACAAAATAACAGAGACCCTTTTGTTTTTTACAGTGAAAAATATATTAGTTGAGCTCATAATTTGTTCAGACCTTTAAAAAAAAAGCTTTATTGAGATATATTTAAGGTATAGTAACTTGCAGCTACTTAAAGTATATAATAAGATTTGGCATATGTTACTATCCATGAAAATCTTTACAGTTGAGAAAATTTTTTTAAAATTTTATTTAAAGAAAAGGAAGCGAAAAAAATACATGGAGATTAAAAAAAAAAGGGTAGAAATAATACAAAATTACAGACAAACAAAAGGTAAGAAATTGCCGGTTGATAAGTTATACATTGTCATCTTTGAAATAGCTGTTCAGGTTATAGAATTAAAGTATTTAGAATGACATTCAAAAAAGTGACCCTACAAACCATTCTGCTCTATGATCGAACAAAAGCTCAGTAATATGATTATCAGTCCTACACATTTGTTTTACATCTCAAAGACGGTAAGATTAAACATATCAAAACAGAACAGAACATTTAAAAAAAAAAACAATTTAAAGAAATACAGATTTCAAAGCAAGTCCACTGGAGATCTTCATTATCTAACTGTCTCTAGCTTCTTACAAATAGTTGTCCCTATCTTCACCCACTTTATATACTTATTGCATATTATAGAACTAATCAAATCATTACAGGATGATGAAGTCTTTTTAGGTCCTCAAGTTCCAAATTAGGGAAGACATAGCAACTACCATCGCATCTCTCATTCTCTTTGTGATAGCCGCCCCCATCTTTGCATATGCTGAAGTTGAACTGAAGAAACCAGTCCAATGTCATTCTAATCAGCAAACAATAGATTGCTAGAATTTATATTATAATGCTACAAATAAGCCTTGGGTTTCTCAGCGTCTCTTCCTCAGAGTATCTGTTCCTTACATCTTGCAATATATAATCTGTTCCCGTAAATAATTAAAAAAAAAAATCCATGTGTGAGTTTCTACCTATATATCTATCCTCTCTGTATTATAGGGAAAACCAAGTCATAGCAAGACAGCAAAACAATTTCCTAGAAAAACATGCAATGGATAAGACATATAAGACTACAATATAAATGATCTTCCGTAGCTACTATGTTTTCTCTTGTTATTTTCAATAGATTTGTCCACAACACTGGCTTATTATAGTTAAACATACTATCACCTATTTTTATAAAAACTTAACTTTGACAGCATTGTAGGATTGGAGAGCTGTTATTGATTCATACCAGTATGGATATCCTTTACATCTTGTCATGCTCAGAGTAGTTTCCTCTACTTTTAGGGTTGATACTAACAAGCATACCAATTTCAAATAGAATCAGTCAAGGCCAACCAATAGTCTTATGATTCAGATACAATTAAGATCAGTCATAGTAAGACAATGCAAGTAATACAGGATTTCAGTCTAAGTCAATAGGAAAGTAAGGATAGTTACCGTGGTATAACCTGCTATTTTTGGTTCTAGAGGTCTGTGTCCTCAAATCTGACATGAGTGGACAGACCAGAACAAATTAAATTCAATCTAAATATGGCACTAGGACTACTGTGTCTTTTAAGTCGTTATACACCATTAGCAATGACCTCTGCTTTTTTTTAGATATAGTTTCAGAGCTGTCTATACTAAAGACTATAGCTTACCGTCTCTGCCTCATGTCTGCTACTCCACTTTTCTGCTATAATTTGTCCACCTTATTCCCTCATTCCATTGTCTGCCCCGTTCACTGAGGCCTCTCTGCCACTGTTGCTGGAATCCTGGTATCTCTTCCTCTCTTTCTCTGTAATGTCCTTCAGCGCTCTCTGTAGGGTTGGATTGGTGGCCACGAACTCCCACAGTTCCTCCTTGTCTTGAAAGTATCTTATTTCTTCATTAATTTT